AGAGCGTGAGTTTAATATTAAACAGTTATTACTCGGGGTTCCTATGGAACGACCCGAGTCATAAAATGCAAGCCGTTTTTCTTTTTTCTGCGTTTTGTGTCGCTGTGATTCATCGAAGGCTCAGGTCTACGAATATTTACCGATTGTCTTCCGATCATTTACCGAGTGATGAACGTATTATTGTTAGTGTGCATGATATTCTGATTCGATGTATTACTGTAATTTCCATAAACATGCGAACTCTGTGTCTCCGAGTTGCACGCAGAAATTTGCTGAACAAATAACCAAACAAAATTTATCTTTGAACATTGCTTTTGTCCTCAAATAGTAAACGTAACTTGAAAACAAAGTTCCCTGCGCCATCTTGAAAGGTAGCCGYGCCTCGAAGCAAGAAAAACGGTGGACAATTACTTTCACATGTCTCTATCATTGCAAGCTCACCGTTCGTCTCGCTTSGATTCAAAGGCAAGGCTATCTTTMAAGATGGCGCCGGCAACTGTGAAGGGGACTATGTATTCCAACTTAGCGATTTCTCGTCCTGTGACGCTCAAAGAGACTCATATTTTCCAAAGCTGTATTGGTTGGAATACTGTTTGTTGTAAAAAAAAAGTTGATGTTTTATGAATCCGATTGCAAGGAAATTGCTCAATAATTTGATAATATTTTCAAAAATATCAATAGAAATAGTCGGGCGAAAACTTTTTTTTTTTTTGACATTATGAAAATACATTTTCTATGTGAAACGTATTTAAATCTTTTCAATTGTTTCAAAAAATCTAAACATCTGTTTCTCATTAAACTAAAGAATAAATGGGTCGTTTCATTGTTTACAGCTATGGCCAGCTGATTTGAGAGAAAGTATTAGCCAATCAGAATCGAGAARATTTGCAAAACTGAGGCGTTAATATTTTTCTTGAAATTTTTGATTTCCAGGCCACCTCATAAACAAAGAAACGTTTCTAAATAAAAGGTTAATAACGGTAACACAATAACTATAGTTTTATATATTTTTATTTTAATGGTGGACAAGTTTTTATTTTCGCCGGTCAATTTTAATTCACAGGCTTAATGACACCTGTGACGTCATACATATGCACGTTCGGTATTTTGAACGAGCTCTACKCTCTTGGACGACAYGTGATWAAATMAAYCAAWAACTAGACGCATATCTGCGTGAACTCGGGCTTCATAGCAGAAAATCGAAAGAATTCTTCGTGAACAYTGTCATCCTTCTGACGAAACCTTGAAAAATTCCGCCATTGCTCGWCCATGTGCTTATRTGGCGCATACTACGCACGCGCATAGAACTTGCGCATGCGCTTTGAACGCARCTGCRATTTGYGACAGAACGCAAATAAAGMCTAATTTATACCTCGGGCATTTCTTTGAAAGTTCGAGTAATAACTAAACTACGACACTTCAGATCAACTCGATAGACAAATGCAAGTAACGACCACTGTATAAAACGGATGGGACCAACCTTTTACTTGCGAGACATTTGTCTCAGATACGTGTTTGCCCCACTTGAGTTAACATACACTATTGAAATAATTAGGTATTGTCTGTAAATGGACTTTTTTTGCGTAGCGCTTTTTGCGGAACTCTGACGGTAATTTCCCATCTTGAAATTTGGTGTTCYTTGTTAAAGTACTACTCTGACGAAAATTATTTTTTGGAGTCTGTGACTTCATACACTCAACATCAAACATTGCTACATATTTTTCTTTGTATATAAATCCTTAATTTATTTTATTCCTATGAAGC